GTCACTGTCACTGTGTTCACGCTTCACACTCCACACAAAAAACACACTCAGAGCGCGCCTCACTCACACTCTCACTCAGTGCGCGCTTTACCCACAAGACAGCACCCAGAGCGCGCCTCGCAGCTTCACACACACTCTCTCACCCAGAGCGCGCTTTGACACTCACACACAACACTTTTCCTCAGCGGGAATTTTACACAGAAACCTCTGAGCTCAACTATTAGATCTTCTTAAAGCACACTGCACCATAGACCAAAATACCCCTTTCTCTGCGATTATGACCGCCACCACGGGGCAAAGTCGCATCATAAAAGTGATGCTTGCATCCCCGAAGTTATACCTGACATCATAAACCAGGTGTTGCTATTTACTTAAATTTTTACTTTGTATTATGGCCGCAGCCCTTTATACTCGACTGACGCCACAAACCACCGTCAAAACCTCTATCAAATGTACTAAAACTAGCACCAACCACTACTGCACTTCACAGCCGCACCACCGGAACACGGCGTATCATAAACCAAACCTACGGACGTGTTTCGCTCTCGCGTTGCCAGCGTCCAACTGCACCGTGAAGCCAGTATCTGCTTGTCCTTAAATCAACTTCTATTTCATAGCCGGCAAAAGCCAGGACATCACTGACACCATAAACAAAATAAACAAACCTCGACTTCAATGTACTGAACTAATGGCCGTGTCTTCAGAAGAAATTCTAATGTATTATTGCTACAGAAGCCAGTATTAGACAAAATTAAATGTGGAAGGTAAAGTGGCTGCAACTAGCTCAACGTAGTATCTTATTAGTTTCTCGGTAGAAGCAGTTTACTGCAACTAGCTCAACGTAGTGTCTTATTAGTTTCTCGGTAGAAGCAGTTTATTTAACACACTGGAATTCAGCCTCAACTTATGTTGTTAGTATCTTGCGCCAAAAACCAGACACCGACAAATTTACTGTGAAAATACGTGTAACTCAGTGAACAGATTAATTTGGAAAGCCCAATATGCACATTTGGTATTTATAATACAACAGGCTGTGCTTACCTTTTTATTTTTGGACCGGTCCTCTGTTCACCTCGCCTCACGATCTCACCAAAGGTCAAATCTGCACCTCCTCAGCACACCAAAGATCCGGGTCACACGGCACCAAGTTGTTGAAAACACGCAGTTCTTTGAATCTTTGGGCTGAAGGAAGGACAATACTCGGTGTATCAATGCTCAATCAACAATCATTTATTTCCATACAATTCAACAATAAGAGCATTAGAACGTCCGGACGGGAGAGATGCTACCAGAGGGTCAGGCACATGTCTCAAAATGGTGACGGGTTGCTCAGCTTTTTATAGTCTCTAGTGGCCCCCAGCTAGTCGTAAAAGCCAAAACATCACATTTTTTCTCTGTTACAGCGCCTAAGTTATGACCTCGGCAGTTGTTTCTCTGCTTTCTGTAAGGTGGGGGTGTGGAATGTGGTCTGTCTATCTCCCCTGTCTTTAGACACAGAGTCTCCTGCTTACAACCTTCTTTTCATGATTCAACAATTAAGCATGTCAAGAAAACAGTGTAACACATTCCCAGCAGATCAAGGATACAGAGTGATGCACATTTATCTAATGAACTAATATGTGAATATGTTCTGTTAACTCAAAAGTATAATGAGAACTAAACTACATACAGATCACACACTCTATTTTAAAGGGTATAATATGATCTACAGCAGTATTCTAATTCAACTACTTTGATTACATATATAAGGTAACATATAATAACAGAATAATATCACACCGTGCAGCACGTTAAATATCTCGAGTGTCTCAGTGTTGTTTATTCACCTGACTGTTAACTGTAAATCTCTGACATTGTTCAAGGTTCAACATTGCAAGTGACCACTTCCCTAGATCCCTGATCATTTTACTAACATAAGTAAAGAGAAAAGCATCTAAATAGCCCAGCCTAATGGTTGTGTGCTAAATCAATGAATTAAATGTCAACTGTAAACATAACTGGCCCATAGCTGTGGAAATTGACTTGAATTCTTTAGTTTGTGGAGATCAACAGTAATTTAAAAAGAGCTAAATTTGTCCTGAGCCATCGTGTAAAAGTTTATCCCGACCTGTCTCGAATAGAGAATGTGTGGCGTATTTGGAAGCACAAAATGCCACAATGAAAATCTCGTACTGTTGCCCACCTTAAGACTTGTTTGCAGGAAGAATGGCGCAAAATTACACCTGAAACACTTCACTTGGTGTCTTCATTGCCTAAATATTTAAGTGTTGTATTAATACTGTGTCCAGTTTTTCTACATCATTTTTTTTGGTTCATGCATTAGGTGTCCAACTTTGTTCAATTCTGTTTATTCAACAGTACAAAATAATCACTGAAAAATTATTTGTTGCTAGCTGTAATCAGTCTGCCTCTCCGTTTACTCTTTCAAACCAATTTTTCTTCAGCTTTCTGCAGTTTCTTCACCTGATTAAATGGCTATGAAAATATTCTCCTGAGTTTCTTTAAGTTGTGTCTGATTTCACAACAAAAAAGGAAACAGAAAACATGATGATCAGGAAGACTTGAGTATAAAACAAGAAATACTTGTAGAACAGTCACTCAAGGTCCGTTGTGTTGTGTTCATCCTGTGTTTCCAGTCTTTAACTGCTATTTATGTTCATGCATTGGGCGTGTCCAACGTTGTTCAGACTTGTTTTACCAATTGTTTGAGCTCATACACGTGTTTTAAACGAGTCGTGTACACTTAACTTGATGCTTGGACTTACTGGGTATTTATGTATCAACATTTGTATATTTACTTCATCCTTCTCATATGAGAGTTTCATATTTTATTTGAACAAAATCAGTGGTTAATCAGTGGCTGTTGATCAATAGTCATGACAATTTGCATATTAATGATCAAGAAACTGACCTCACAGCCCATTGTTTAATCAGTGGGTTTGTTTCAGTCACTGTGCAAAGAATGAACAGAATGAACTTTTTGGGATTTACTCACCTGGATGACACCGAGACACTGATGGTTGTAGCAGTTTTTGATTTTCCATATAATATCAGCACCACACACTTTACTGATACAGCACCTGGCATTCACTAGCTCTGGCCAAGAGCTTGTAAGTGCACATCAGCCACAGATCACAGGAATATTGAAATTTTACAACAAAAACATGTTACAAAACACATGTGGTCTGATATATGTGTTATAAAGATTCTTCTCAACTTTGTGACTGCAGTGCACCTGGTTTGCTCGTAAGTTGGAGCACAACCATCTAAAGTGTGCCAAAAGCTTTTGTGGCTGTCCTGTGACACTGTGCAGCCTCTCTTCAACACAGTTGTAATCTTTCATTTCCTACAAAGTTTACAAAGGTTTCTGGTGTCTCTAAACCTCAGCTGTGGCAAAAGGGCTAACAGCAAATGGACTTGATCTCTCTGAACAATAGTAATTATTACCTAAACTCCACTCCTCCAAGAGCACCACTATGGACCACTGAAAAATCACATACAATGTAAATTGCTATAAATGTCTGTTAAGTCAGTTTCATAATGAGAGCTCGTGCTACCCGGCTCCATTAGGTTTTGCATTCTAGATGCTTTTTTCCAACACTAACCAGCAGGGATGAGTAGCATAGTGAAATCTATGCGATTTTTAAGAATATAGTATCTTTATAATAGTTCCCTCTTATGTTCCAAAAGCCGTTACTTTAAAATAACACACAACAAAGAGAAAAGTAACTTTATTTTGAATGGACCAGAAACCAACAGTAAACAAATCCAAAGAGGAAAAAGCAGAAAGATGTTATCCTTTGGTAAATTGTCATGTAGAGACCTGTTATATAATAAATAATGATTTTTCAAATCATAGCAGTAGCCTTTATCCAAACCATTGAGGCAAGTTGAGCTATATAGTCTGATTATAGTGAAAATGTGTGATAAATAGTTTAATCATCAAACTACTTTAGTTTGATGATTTACCTGTTTTTAAATCTCTGCAGTAACTAGGGATGGGTATCGTTTAGGTTTTATCCGATACCGGTTCCAAATCGGTACTTTTGAAACGGTGCCGGTGCTTAAACGGTGCTCGAACCGGTGCTTAAAGAATGGAGAACACAAACTTTGTCCAAAAACCTCCCATGTTCAGCTGTTTTGTTTGTTTTTTGTAAAAAGATAACAATGTTAGCCTTTTCTGCAGCTATGGGGCATATATGGTATCACTCTTGGCTGGAAGCAGTGCTTAAACAATGGAAAAAAAACACAAACTTTGTCCAAAAACCTCTCATGTTCAGCTGTTTCCCACTTTTTCTTTGGTCATTTTAGCCTTTTTGTCCAGGGTGAAGGGAGTATCTGCCATCAAACAAGAAGACAGCCGCATGTAGCTATGATGATGTTTGCTAGTTCACCTTACATGCATTAATGTAATAACGTGGTTAGCCTACTCAACGTAAATTACACACGAACAACATTTAGCTACTCACGCAGAGAAGAACGGCTGCTGCCATCAATATCCTCATCATTTCTGCTACACTGGCAGGGCTAGGGGCCAGGACTCTATTCTTCGGGTTTTTGGGGGATGTTGCTCCGGGTCCGATAACTGGCAACCCACCCAACGTGCACAGTGTGAGGTCTCGCAGCAAGCTATCAAATACGGCGCATTTCTCGGCTTTTAAAAAAACCCGCTATGCGTCGCCAGGTGTTTCATCAGTTTCGAGGTGTTACCTCCTTTGACAGTATCACAGTATCAGCTTAAAGCACTTGTTGCAGGCTGCTGAGTTTGCATATTTTGCTGTGAAGTACAACCAGACTTTTGACCGCTTCGCCTTGGACATTTTTAATCTGTAGCTCTGCTCTAACTGAACGTACGTACCTGGCCCCGCCTACTATCCTGGGAAACGTAAAATGATTGGCTAGAAGTGTATCACAGCTCAGGAAAAAAAAAGCACCGAAATAAAGCACCGAAATGTGCGCTGCTTTTCGGTCTGGTTACTACCGTTTATGTCAGAACCGGTGCCATCATGGCACCGGACACCGGTACCCATCCCTAGCAGTAACACAAAAAACCTAATTTCTCAGTGTTTCCCATCTTCATTTCATGGAGTTGCTCTGTCTCGATCCTGTATATATAAAAGGACACAGACAAGTTCATTAGTACAACCAAAAGGTCAAAAGTGTAATGCTAACTCGAGGCTCTGACAGGATATGCAGGTTTAACTGCAGCTTTCTTCTTTATGTTCTCATCACATTGCTTGTAACATGGTAATGCCTGTCACTGCCATTAAACAGAATAAAGTGTTACCTCAGTTAGGAAGTCATTTTCGTGACACCAGCTTTGAAAGCAGAACTTAGCATCTCTCAGACTCGCTGAGTTCTTACAGTAAACTCTGAGGATCTTCTCAGCAAAGCACACTGGGAGAAGCTTGGACACCTGACAACAAGGACAGTAACATAAAAGCTGTTTTACAGAGACATCTACAGAAAGAACACACAGCTCATGCAAAGACATGCAGTAGTTCTGACCTGTTCTCTGGGAATCTTGAATGCTTCAGTAGGCTTAGCCTTAGTGTAGAAATATGTGGTATTGATGGGGTCCTTGTTTTTCATCCCATAGTCCAAAGTGACAACCTAAACGAGCAGTGTTCACATGTACATTATGACTCAGTCGAGGTTGGCAACACAATTTAGCTAAAAAAACAAAACAAAAGCCAAGATTTTAAGAATTAATTACTGAGTATAATTAGAATAAAAACTCACCATAATTTCAAAGTTGTCTTTTGGAATGACTTTAACCAGTTCATTTTCCAAGCTGTCCTTCATCTTCTGACAGATGGAGGAAAGAACATGTGCTGTCATTGTGTTATCATTGTTTTGCTGATCTCTTTTTATGATCACTTTTCACTCTTACTTTTATTTCCTCTTGGTCTTCTTTCTTGAGCTGAGAAAGGGAGAGAAGAGTCACATCATCTCTCTTTTTTAGCGCACTCACACACCACAAATATTGTAATCAACTTTATTTTTTACAGCAATAAAATAAAATGCAGGTTAAACTGAGCTAATAAGCTATTATGTAGGTGACTATGAATGACTCACTTAGGATTTAAATGGTTTCAAAATGGTATCAAGATCAGCTACGATGAATTCAGTTTAACTCTGTCTCAAATATTGAGAACATCGGGCAGTACAGTGGCGTGGTGATTAGCACTGTTCCCTCACACCAAGAAGGTCCTGAGTTCAACTTTGCATCTGGCCGGGACCTTTCTGTGTGGAGTTTAATGTTCTTTTGGAGGTTTTCTCCAGGTACTCCAGCTTCCTCCCACAGTCTAATGACATGTAAGTAGTGGGGTTAGGTTAAGTGGGGAATCTAAATTGCCCGCAGGTGGGTATGGTTGTCTGTCTCTCTGCATAAGCCCTGCGTCAGGCTGGCTCACTGCTTTTGGCTAGTTTTGCTTTTGGCAAGGGTCAGTGTCACTACTGGAAGACTGATGCAATACATGTTCCCTACAGAGGCTGTCCAAATCTTCCAGAATGGCACATTAATACAAGCCACTGCCAGATGTTCTTCTGTGTCTTCCAGTACAGTCTCAAGAGAATGGAGGAGAATCCAGGGCATTAACAGCAGTAACTCTAGGAGAGCAGGAAAGCGCCATAGAAGGTCCTGTCCAGAGCAGTATCTGCTCTTTTGCGCCACGCATTTGCCATTAAATACCAGAAATGGCAAGTCTACCACTGGAGCCCGGCACTTTTCACAGATGAGAGGTGAACACATAAGAAAGGCTCACATTGGACAGCTGTGAAAGGGTCTGGAGAAGCCATGGAAAATGTGATGCTGCCTGTAACATTGTTTAGCATGACCAGTTTGAGGTTTTATAAGTGATGGTCTGGGGAGCCATATCCATGGAGAGACACACAAACCTCTACAGGTTATGCAACAGATCTTGGGTTGAAGTCCCACACTTACAGGCCCTATGCTGGTGCATTGGGTCCTGGATTCCTCCTGGTGCATGACAATATCAGTCCTGATGTGGTGGGAGTATGCAGGCAGTTCCCAGAGGACAATTTCCATTTAGTTTACGGCTAGATACTAGCCTGTACAGGCCTTTACACATCTACAGTAATTTCCTGCCTTTTTTCTAATGTAAATCTTACAGAAGCTTTTTAGTTCAAACTCTCAATGTACACCTGGTAGTCTGTTGGGATCGAGTTTGAATTATGTACGAACCTTCTCCAAAAGCCCCTTTTCATTTAAAAAAAAAAAAAAAAAAAAAAAGCCCCTTTTTATTAGTACCTAATTGGATCTACTCGCCACAGTTTTCAGGGTTTTCTATTAGGTCATAGTACCTTGTACCAGGTACTAAAACAGCGCCTGCTCAGTCAGAGTTCAAAGCGATCTGAGCAGGCACTAAAATGCGATGTGGTCAGACCTCATGCCACCAACTGACTGGTCAGTGGTGTCACTCAATGAGTCATGAGATCATCTGATGGGGCCACAGGGTCTTGGTGCAGTTGTTTTGGTCCACACCTGAAAACAATAAAAATAAACTAACAGATGCAGCAAAATGAGTCAAATCAACCACCATGTTAGCTGCTGCACTGTTATCGCCCCAGCTGTGGAGAGGTGGGGAAGAGAAGAGCAGTGATGAGAATAACAGCATTTTTCAGTAACTAGTAATCTAACTCATTACTATTTCTACTGTTAGAATGCTGTTACCGTTACTAAAAAGAAAATGCTGCACGGACGCATTACTATTTGTAAACACACAGACAGTTGAAGCTGTCTACAGCTTACCTGGAGCGATGGGGGCGAAACAATTGCACAAGTGCTGCTGATTGGCTGAGAAAGAAAACTAGTAAACCATGGTAACATGACCAATTTAAGATGACATAGCAACAAGATGTCATGTGAACCCAAGACAAGCCTCAGTGTCCATTTTTGTGTTTAAAGTGAGGTATTCAGACTATATACCAATTTTTAAATTGTGTTGACAAGAACACGTAAAACCAGAGCCATGATAAAAAATGTTCTTTTTTTTTTTTTTTTCCTGAATGCTATTGTCAAATTTACATCTAAGGACAGCACTAGCAAGCACTCTCTGCTTATGACCAAACAAATATAAAATAAAAAACACCCCTTTCCTATTGGTGGAAAAATGTACCATGTCAACCAATCAAAAAATCATATGGCAACATGGGGCATTTGTTGTTTAGGAAGAAGGGAAATTTTTGTAGAGTGACGGGAGCGAAGGAGAGTTTTGAGATGTGAGATTTGTGACATTTAATGTGTTTGGAGTGTGTAGTTAGTGTGTAGTTGCTAGTTTTTTTGTGTGTGTGTCAGAACAATGAGGCGACTGGTGAATGTCACAGTTGCAGCTAAAAAGCCACCAGTGTAAATGTTGTCTCTAGGTGGAAAATGGGATGAGTGATACACCTCGTGCAGTCAGGCCAGCAGGTATCAGGTTTGAGATCATGTCTTCTGTCTTATAGTGGACAAAAAATATTTTTTGGAGTGGCACAAATAATTTGTATGGCATCTTATTTGATGCAGAACACCAGATTGTTCTGTAAATAGTTTGAAATGGCCATAAAAGAATCCCATGGCTGAAAATAGTTGCAAATAACTATTTGCAATAACTGTCGTTTGTTTATAAATTTACAATTTATATTTACATTTCAAGTTATGATCTGTTAAACATGTTTGTGGTTGTTACAGTAAAAAATAACCTTTTCTACTCAGATCTTATGTTTTTTGTCTGATTTTAGATCAATTATGGTAATTGTGTCAAAATGAAAAACTGTAAATTCAGAAATATGAGGTTGTGCTGAAAAGAATGATACCAAATGACAGCAAAGCAAGACAAATAGTTTTTAAAGGTGATATGCAGAGGTAGGTGGGCCAAAAAAGCCTGGGCCAAGTTTTTGTCCCAGTCCATCCCTGATTGCACACCTTGGTTTCACCCATAAACTGGTACAGGTCTCGAGACATGATCCTCTGCAGAATCATCCTTGCTTCCTCCAGAGGAGAGGGAGTGAATTCATTTGAACAAGAACAAGGGTGGAGTATTCTTTCAATCATTTGATCTGCAGAGTAAACAGACAAATAAAGTTAAGATCAGGTCAATTCAAGTAAACAAAAGAAACATTCACAACTTCATCAGTAATGTCATATAAAGAAAGACACACAAAAAATTGATTAACATTAATAAACAAAACAAAATAAGCAAGCGATAAAGCAAGCAAAGCATTAGTAATACTGCAGTATTAAATAAATAAATTTACAGTTTACTATAAACTAGTAGAGACGTATCCGTCATACTGAAGAATCAACCTGACATCATGGCAAATCCTGTAATAGTCACGCCAGTCAACAGTTTTTTTTTCCATGCTGTGCATCTCCAAAGTGTGAAAAAAAAAACCCCACAAATGCAGAAGTTGCAGTAAGTTGCAATAAACTGCAGTAACAGCAGAGTGAGATTTTTTTTTTCAATTTCAAACCAACATGAAAATAATCATTGGTATTTTAAACAGATGTTGTTAATTCATTTACATACATATTAGCCACCTTCTTTAATAGTTTCTGAATAGAAAATGAAATATATATAAAATATATATGAAATATATAAAATAATATATATAAATACGGTATATAAAATATATGAAATATAAAAGGAAATATGTAGAGCATGTTTTCCACTACCTGTCAGCTTTGTGTAGGCTTCCATGTCAGTTTTAGCTTTGGAGAGACAGAACGTTGTCCCTCCTGAACCTTTAGTCAGGATGTACTGATCTGCTTTCAAGAGGGCGTCTTTGATCCTGGATAAAAAAAAAAGACCCAGTATATGACTTTATGGGAACTCTGTAGATGAAATAAATGTTGTCTTACAATAGAATTACACAGTTGGTACTTACATAATTTCTACACTCTTGGTTACTCTGTGCTGGTAGGCTCTTCTGTGGAGAGAGTTCCTTGTGTGGAACATGTCATACAGGTTTGCCACTTCCTGTTGAGACCATCGCCTATAGTTTAGTCACAGCCAATCAGATAATGAATTACTCATTAAAAACTGATAAAAAGCAGGGATCCACACCTTGTCTCTAGAGCAAATGTGCTTCCTCCCATTCACATCACACACCCTGGCAAACATGATGAAGCGTTGATGGTCAAAGTTGTTCCGGATGCCCAGGTGGTGGCAGTCCCTGAGATAGGAGTGAGGAATTACATCAATTTAATTACATTTATTATGGTAAACCCTCCGAAATACTGAGTTTGTCATCAACACAAGTCCCACCTGGCAAAGTAGTCGAATTTGTCCACATCAATCCCATTTTGCTTGTTTGACACAATTTCATAGAGGAAGGATTTATTCTCATCTCGACCTTCATACGGCCACTGTGGAGACGACACCAGAATTGACGTTCGTGACAGCGATGATAACGAATGGTTTCATAATATTCAGACAGTAACTGGCCAGTACCTCAGCGTCATCAATCTTTAGAGGTTTAATCATCTCCTTGATAAATGTCAGGTCAGGTGGGAGTATCAGTCCATAACGCTCCATCTCTTGTGCCAGACTATTCGCCACCACCAGATGATCAAACATCTCTAAAGAGGCATCCTCATGCTGCAAGAGATACATTATTATTGTTTATATTAAGAACAGAATTCAAATGGTTGAAAGTTTAAAATGATCAGATACAACATACAGAATCAAATTTGAGCACATGACCATCTCTTAATAGAGGTAATTAGTGTCAGTATTCCAGTTTTAACCAGAGGTTCTCAACTTTTATGAGTCAGACATGATGAGCGTGGACATAACAGTGGTATGGCTTCTTCTAGCAGAAAATGATGTTTGTTTGTTTGTGCTGATAATTGTTAACACTGTGTTGTTTCTATCATTTAGTGCCATGTGTACTTATTTCCTCAAGATGGCATCTGACAGTGTTTTCAAATATATTTGATTTTTGTGGGTGGCCATTATGTCGCGTCTCACAGAGAAAAAAAAATTTTTTCACGTACCTTCCAGTCTTTATGTTCTGGGTCTGCTTCGGGGTTGAACATTCCATCAAAAAGATGGGAAAAAGGTCCATGTCCTTCATGGAGAAACAAATGTAAAAAAAATAAAATAATAATTAAAGCCTCCTGTTATAGTTCACACACACACACACACACACACACACACACACACACACACACACACACACACACACACACACACACACCATTTGCCTTTTTCATTTTACCAAGCATGTTTTATTTTACACTGGCTAGTATTATAAACTTGATGCTATTAGAGTGAAAGACGTGCAGCACTTACCCAGGTCATGACAGAGACCTGCAATTTGCACACAAAGGACGTCTCGTTCACTGATGTCGAGTTCTGGCTGTTTCAGCTTCAGAGTTTTTGCAAGTTCTCCTGCTAAGTGCCCCACCCTGTATCACCAAAAAAAAAAACACACACACACACACACACACACACACACACACACACACACACACACACACACACACACACACACACACACACACACACACTTCATCATGCAGCACTGAAAGAAAAGCATTACTACACTCTAAAAAATATTTTGTTGGCTTAACTTAAAAAAATTGAGGTAACAATTTCCACTTAGCTTTTTAAGTTACAAATTTTGCATATTATTAAGTAAATCCAGCAAGAAATTTTTAGGTTTGGCTAACTCAACTTGTTTAACAAACCAACATGATTTACCTTGACCTCCACAAGCATAATTAAGTTTATGCAACCTAATATTAATTTAAAATTTCTGGTAAAATTAAGTTGAGAAATTACATTAGTTGAGTTACACCAACGAACTTTTTTACATGTATCCTACTCACAATTATCCATGCCAATTAGTTTAGGTTTCTATAGTAGCTTTTCTAAAAATCACACAAAGCCATTTCACTTATTCCAATTGATTATTTTATTACAAAACATTTTCAAAGTAATACACTTCTGTGTCAATACAACATAAATGAGACATTACAGCAGCCCTTTAATTATAAATGACTAAAAAAAAAAAAGTACTTCATGTACATTAACATTAACTTCAATTGGTATCAACTTGTTCAACTTGTCGCAGAATCAAGGAAATGACAAAAGATTTTAATGTTCAACAACAGAACAATCCAAAGCTAAGATTATATGTATTACAAACTTTTCTCAAAACTACACTCATCTAGGACTGCATACAAAAACGTAACAGGCACATCGGAATACTACAGTCCAATTCACATTCGTTTCATGACAGAAGTTTGCACTTAACAGACATTACCCGTGGACTGGTTTAAGCCCATCAAGTTCCAGAAATACCTCTAGAGTGTTCTTTACTTGTTTTGGGTAGCTCAGATTGAGAGTGTATATAAGCCCCATCATTAAGGCACACACTCTGGGCACATCAAGGTCTTCCAGGACTGCTGTTCCTTCAATCACAATTTTAGCGACAGCTGGGAGAGACACTGCTGCTCGTCTGGTGTCTACAATCTTTACCACTTCTTCTGGGAACTGTTGTTCACCATCCTGGCAAGTAGGTAGTTTAAATGGAAACATGTCAGCATTTTATGTGCCATTTAAAAATAAAACACAAAAGAATGCGAGATTCACCTACCAGCTGTTCTCTGAAGAGATCCTCTTCCTTCTCTTTCAGATACACCTTCAGGCAACGGATTGCGACCTCTCTCTTCATTTCCACCGAACTCTGGAGAATAAAAAAAGCAAAACAAAACTTAAACTTACAGTTTATTAGGTGAAAAGCCAAAACTATTACATTTATGTGACTTGCATTGTGCCAAATATTGATTTTAAATATGTTTTTAAAAGAAATAAAGATTTAATCTTTGTAACTTCAATTTAAACTGTTACACACTGGCCTGCTTTAAATGCCCACTTTGCTAGCAATAGGATAAAGTGACTAAAAGTAAATGTAACCTAAATTTCATCAACAGCACAATTGTGCTTTTGATGAATAGGACCTGAATCAGAGAATGACATGAACTATAACTGTAACTGTAACAACTAATTCATCAATACACCTGCGAGGTACATTAAATATACTTTCCAGTTTTAGTAGTAGGTGGGCTAAATGTTTCTCAATTAAATTAGGCAATTCCCCAATTTCTTCATCCTCTTCATTTGCTACATCTTCACACAATGGATTTTCATTATGTTCCTCAAGAGGATCATCTCCTGCATTCAAACGACTGACACACCTCTGTATCAGCTCAGGCTTGAAGTCATCCAATGAGTGAGGAGTGTGTTTTCGGTTCCTATGAGAAGCACATGTTCAAATGAGCAGTAACAATCCCAGTACAGGCAAGGTATAAACAGTCCACCATGGCTATGTTTAAGCCTGTAATGCTTTAAGAGCTCATTCCTTCTTGATGTTTCAAACTTGCAAATTTTGCAAGTCCAATGCATTTTGAAATTTACTGCGACCTTTTGTAATGCAAAGAATTATTGAAGCTTTTGAGTTAACAAGCTATTTTAAGTATAAAACCTTCTCTAAAACACTACAATGCAACACTGAAAAAGATTAATCATAAAGACTGAACAAAATTGAATTTTAAAATTGACATCTACAGACTGCAGTTTAAACTTGTAATAAGGTGTCAAATCCAAATGTGCAAGAGAAATTTCTTTTAAACTATTTAAATACCACTGTGGACATGCCACAATCCCACACTTTACATTATGCTTACAATTACAGAAAGCAAATGCAAGTCGTATGCACGCACACACACACACACACACACACACACACACACACAATATTGTTTTTTGGTTTTTTTTTTTGCTAGGTCAACCAACTTTAATCTCAGGCAGAATTCCCAGTCGAGCTTAGAACATCAACACAATTGATAGAAATACTTTTAGTCAGGGATAAATTCACCACATTTGACTCTGTCAGTAATTAGTTACCTCACCCGAGACCATCTTGTGGAAACACGAATTTACTCTGACACCATGATAAAAATGCAGGCAGCTACTGACCGGTTAATTTGAACATATACGGGTTCAAATTGAACATGCTCTGCTGTCGGCATAGTCTATCAGCTAACCAAATGTACCCTGACAAGTGACATGTTTTAATTGTATCTGTACTCTTTTATTTGTGAGGAACGTTTGCTAGCTAAAAGAAACGGCTAGCTAAACTTAAAAAAACAACAACAACTCTACTCTGCTAAATTACGATTAAAACCATCAAATTTCAGTTTTTTTTAATATGACATTTTAGAGTGTACAAATATAACTTGTAATTCATCTATTTAGAATTCAGTACTTACTTAACTCACCGAACACAGTCGAGGGCAAACACACCTCTTCTCCCACGAAGCCACAAGAATCCAGAAACTGTTGCGCACGATACGAACATATGCTACGGGGTTGCCCTCGTCTGTCTGAATGGTCTCAATTCAAACAGGAAGGATGTTGAAACTCATTTTTACATGTTACACAAACTTAATATTTTCTGTTGTTGATTGATGACAAAAGTATTTTATTCAATATACTCAAACATTTAAGTTAAGGAACTGTTTTTTAATTTTTGTGTTGCACTGACTTCTAACATTGATTATTCAACTCACTGAAACGTGTACATGTAGGCAACTTACTTTTTTTAGCAGAAAAATGCTTTTTTGTTAAGTTCTACCTACAAACACCATGAATATTTTTTAGAGTGTAGTGTATCTGACTGTAAACAAGTGGACATACCCTATTGAGTGTTCAAAGCGGTTGTGCGATGCTCCTGGAAAAACGAAATAACCGCCCCCAAGCTGCTTTATGTTTCGTAGTCTCTGAAACTGAGGTGTGTCTATGATCTTGACAAGTAGTGGATGTAACTCGATGTGGCCATGGATGGGATCATTAAACACCTGTGTGAAGAGAAATGAACAAAAAATAGACAAACTTAGAGGGTTTTGGAGGACTTGGTCTCAGATTTTCGTTCAGCACTCACCTCTTGGTGAGTAAACACTGTGCCTCATGCTAGGTCAAATTTTCTGTCACCTTGCCTTTGACCAAAGCACTGGCAGCTGGCCAGCCTACTGACATTATGTCTAAGGTGAGTTAAATATAAAGATTGTATTTCCCTAAAAAGATCATCAAATGATATCTTACATAGACAAATATACACATGATACACATATATTATGAATTCACATTTTTATAAAGTGCTAATCACAACAGTAAGTTAGACCACACACCAAAGACCATATTATAGAAGATACTTTCATGTTACATCACCTTGTTTAAATCTTTGATGTTCAAGTGCTTCTCCATAGTGCTGTAAATGTTTAAATGACCAAAGATTACAGTTTTGCACATCATGCATTCTGGATATAAAAGGAAACAGTCAATGAATGTAATTGTAATTTTTCAATACTGGTCAAGTGTGAGAACTTACCAGTTTCTCATTGTTCTCTGAATTAAAGCACAGAACAAATAAACAACTTTTTAAGTTAAAAAATCATAGAATCTATTTATAAACAAACATTTTCTAATCTTCTGACTCATCAAAGCAGCTGCCTTTAACAGATATAACAGTTGTGTTTATGCCCTTCTTTCTACATCAGAAGCCAAATATTCTTCAGAAAGGTCTTCCTAACTGTTGCATAAATGTGTGGCTCTTCTGGGTTGCTTTGCTTCCACTCTTCCGTCCAGCTCATTCCAAACCAGCTTGATGTGGTTTAAGTCTGGAGACTGTGCTGGCCATTCCATGTTGTCAAGCTTGCCTTCTTGTTCTTTTTTCCTAAGATAGATCTGTAATAGCCTGGACTTGTGTTTTGGGTCATTATCTTGCTGTAGGATGAACCCCTGACCAACTAGGTGCATACCAGAGGCCACTGCAGAATGCTATGGTAGCCATTTTGGTTCAGGATGCCTCTCACTCTGTAAAAGTCACCTGTATCCAACAAAAACACCCAAACCATGCTTCCTCCTTAATGTTTGACATTTGATGCCACAAAGTAAGGAACCAACGTTTTGCCTAATCAACAGTGAGCAAAAATCCTGCATGATGAACCAAAGATTTCACATTTTGATTCATCAGTCCATAACACCTTCCATTATTCAGCAGTCCATTGGTGGCATTTCATGGCCCAGGCAAACCTTTTTTTCATGTTTTGATGTCTAAGTAGACTTTTTTGCATTGATGTGTTTTTGTATTGATATAGACTAACCATGACAGAGACACAACCATTAACTTCTTTATGAATTAGAAAAAAAGATGTTAAATCTTCTGATATTATGATTTTTCTCAAATACATTAGATTAGTGCTATCACTACAGGGGACAATGCTGCAGCCTAATTTGGTCTTGAGCTGCACGTTTACAAGGAAACAGGATGATGCTTTGCCTTCTTTTACTTTAAACGGACATCTCAGTTCAGTTCTATTCACTGACGCTGTGTGGACATTTTTAGATTTGGTAGCAACTCATTCACTGCAAAGTGTCCTGTACGTATTTCATCTACTGGCAAGCATAAGCCCCTTAATTAAAATGATACTTTCAATCATACAATACAATTATTTTTGTTATCCAAAGATTTTCACATTCACATTTGACAAAAAAAAAAGTAGAAACAAATATTAAAGAAGTTAATTTATTTGCTTTATTTAAAAAAATCGTTTTCGTAATTGAATTTTATGTCTGATTAATTTCTGAATTCTCAGACTGGTCCAGTGTGCAGGCCAAAATATGGGTATAAAAACATGAATTCACTTTGACTTAGAGTCTTAAACAAGTTTTTCACAGATTTAAAAACAATATTTTTGCTTTATTGTTTTTAATGACAGCTGGTCTAATAAATGTGTTAAGCACTGCAACAGTATGACATGGATTCAGTCTAATATACAAAACTATTTATAAAAACAACTTTGCACGATTCGGAGGTTTGATAAATTAATCTGGGAACACTCCTGTGAGTAAAGCTTTCATACAAACATGAAATCACTTAAAATACAAGAAAATGTTATTTTATAAAGCCCACTGAGCCTGGACATAAACCCAAAGCTTAATGAGAGTTTTTAAAAACAGGTATGAGATGAATAAACACCTTGAGAGAAAATATGAAACAAAGTTTGACTTACCAAATCTGCTTATGAACTAAACAATAGTAGTAAAGCACTCCGAGATCTCCCGAGTGACGACAAAGATTTTTTTCCTTTCAATGTGGAAACGTTCACGTGATCTCTTTTTTTTTGGGCTTTGTTTTGCTTTAGTCTGATGTCACTGAATGCGTTTCACATTCAGTCACCTTGCTTATTCTGTAATCGGGTGTCATTACACTGACTACAGTACTACTGACGCTGTGATAAAGCCCCGTGAATATGTCGAATCTTTCCAGCCAATTGCTTCGCCCAAACGCAGATCACACGAAGCCCCGTTCAACAGCTCATTTGGAAATACTGACATCTGCTGGTCATTCACTGTACAGCAGCCCTGCTGTGATATATCAGTGAGTATGTGAACGTGATCATGTATCAATTGCAGAATACCCTTATGAGGTGTGTGTGTGTGTGTGTGTGTGTGTGTGTGTGTGTGTGTGTGTGTGTGTGTGTGTGTGTGTGTGTGTGTGAGAGAGAGAGAGAGAGAGAGAGAGAGAGAGAGAGAGAGAGAGAGAGAGAGAGAGAGAGAGAGAGAGAGAGAGAGAAACTAGCCATCCTATTTGAGAAGATGTATGCTATCATTGGATGGTATTATGTCAAATTATGTCAAATGCTCACAAAATACTGATAATTTTAGCATTTTTAGTGGCTCCATAATGTGCTTGCAATCTCCTCGGAATCACCTCAAACCCAGATCATGTAAAACACTCCCTGTAATGTATTTTCAACAGCTTGAATCACATAATGAGGGAGTCTCGTTGTTTCAGAGAAAGGGGGCCTCGTTTGTCTTTGGTCAGATGACATTCTGAAGAACTACCTACACAGTTTAGGACAAAGAAAATTGTACACAATGGTCATCAAGAATGGGGTGCAAAAGAAAGGAGATGTGAAACCCAAAGAAGCAAAATTGAGATTTCAGTGTTTCCTTTTTTGATCATCAAATTATCTTTTTATCCAGGGGATACATCATATGATGTTCAGCTGCACATTTGTGAGGTAAGAAAACTTTCTTTACCCCTGTTTACTTGCACTATGATCAGTGTAGAATGGATGTTTTCACAGCAGGTATGGACAGGCATATAATCACAGCTTCCAACAGTGTTTCAGTATTACTATTGTAATGGAGTATTCGTTTTAAAAATGCTGTTTTAAAAGAGACTTGAAAAAGGTGATTTTAAGCATTCCACAATATCTTTTCCAGAATTTGCATAACTTAAAGCACATTATGTCAGTTTGTTTTAAGAAGCAGGGTTGTAGCCATTTCATTATGATGTCACTCTCAAAGATCACAGAGCAGATCACACAGCATTTGTAGCAGGGGCGATTCTAGAATCAGAGCTTTGGGGGTGCTGAGCATCCAGAGAGCTACCCAGCCAGGCAAGATAAACCTGTCTCTGTCAGTCCCTGCATCCTTAAATGTTGTCCCGAGTTCTCTCTGACTGTCACTTTGGTGCATTTAAACCCCTGTTCCTCCCTGTCCTCATCGTCTGTTGTATTCATCTCCATTATCAGTCATCATAATTTTACCATCTGTGTAATTTTGCAAATTTCTTTATTAAATCATAAGATTCTTAAATTCATCAAGTCTCTCTGTGCCTGGGTCCTCGTCACAAAACATGACATCACTGTTTTGTACATTTTAACACAATTGAATCCCCACATTTGTGAAAGAAAAGCCTGTAACAAAACCATCAAATCTGATCAAGGTTATTTAAATGCTGCAAAAGAAGAATGGATTCGAATAAAAAAAAAAAAAATAATAATAATACATACCCTAACCTTAATTACTGCAGGAGAATAATGAATGATGCTCATAGTGAGTAAGAAGTAAACTGAGTGCATTTTTTGGACAGAGATTCACTTTTAATGTGTATGTATAATATAATACATATACATAAAAAAATACTCCCGAAACAGAATAAATTGTTATAAATAAATTATTACATAATATTAAAAAAAACTAAAATGGAGGCAACTTTGCCTGTGGTAGAATGTATACAATGTATGCAGATACTAATTTTACTAATTTAATAATACTAATTTTCTGTTGTAAGATTTACAAGTTTCATGCATTCATAGTGGTACTTGGGAGAGCTTGACATTTTATCAGGTGGTACACACTGTAAAAGGTTTGAAAAACACTGATAAGTGTATGTGTGCTTTTGGAAAACATTTAAAGCTGCAGTACAGAATCTTTTGAAACAAGCTTAAACATTCTTAGAATATAAACAGAGCACTCTGCTTCTCTTTACAGCTCCTTACGTACGTACTGCGGCAGTCATACAGACAACTGGACAGTCCAAAAGTTGGTCTACCTATTACTGGCTGAGGTTTTAGTAGAGTTGTGGCTGAACCACATAAAAATATATCATTAATTTTAATCTCCCCACTCAGTTATAATGTTATGTTGGAATGTTGTTAAAGAGGGTCAAAATGTTTCAACCCAGTTTGTTTTGCAGATTCTGTATAGCAGCTTTAATATAGGGAGAACACAACTTCCAGAAAATTAGTTTTTTTCCTCTTTGTCAGTTTAACAGTTTCTGTTGTGCCTGTCACTGTTCCCTGTCTGTTTTCTTGCCTGATTCTTCCTGACCTTGCCCTTTCTCCTCACGTTCCCTCTTTCCTCTCTCCCTCTTTGGACTGACAATCATACACAAATAGATTAATTTTCATCTAATTGAATACAAATTAATATGAAAAAATACTATTAAGATCACTAATAAAAAAAAAAGTCCTCTCAGTGTAGGCCTACTTTCAACCAAAAGGCAAATAACCAAACCACATGAACATCTAATAAAAGATAAACATTGAAACACTGATCCAACATTATTCTTGGTTGACGGATCATTTGATTTTACACTTTTACCTGAATGTGTCTTTTTGAAAAGAAAAAAAAAAAAAACTTCCTCATATCCATTATGAACCTGGCTGTCTCTCTGTACACACACACACACACACACACACACACACACACACACACACACACACACACACACACACACCAGGAGTTATAAGGTTAATGGGCATCCAGTCAGTTAGCTAGTTAGTATCCATTTAAAACAGTACAATGGTAATAACTTTAGGCTACGGAAAATTTAAAGTTTTAGATTTTTAAATAGGCTGTATACATTTCAATGGGAGCAACAGGACGGTGAAATGTCGCTGAATTTACTA